GGTGTTAGACAGAGTAAAATAATAAAATAATAAAGTAAAGACAGAGTAAAATAAAAGTTATTGGAGAGATAAATTTCTTAATCAGTGTGAACAAGCTTTTGTTTCATCCTTATATTTTCGGGTAGCTGCATCACTACCAACAAAAGCTTTTTGTTCATATTATTGGCACTACCTACCCTGGCACAGACAGTTCAAGATTAATGCACAGTATGCCCATTCGCAGGTTAGATATTGAAATTTAAGATTTTGAAGTCTGCCAAACTTTTAAACAGTCCTACGGAGGAGGTAACTGTGTTCTGGCACTTGTGGTTAATACCTTATGCTTTCTCACATGGATGTAAAATATTAGATAGGAGATGAAAATGCCTATTCCCCTGCTTCTGGATGTTGTGGACTATTTACCTGTACCTTTGACTGCACAAACTTTCGCAGTTCCTCTGCATGGCATTCTAGGAAGACTTGAGTACTTTCATCTTTCAGGTGTTTTTGAGCTCCATTAAGTTGCATCATATATGTCTCTATGTCTTTTAAAACACGCTGCATGACAACAACCAATTATGAATATTGCTTTGCTTGTTTTAGATGTAAACACGAAGTATTTAAAAATATTTTATGTAGATTGCTAGAGAATGTTATTGTGATATTTGTAAAGTTTGCATGAGTAGTTTTTTTCAAAATTATATTTAGAAAATGTAGTATAATATATCTGAACAATAAATGGTCCAAAACATATATGGTTGGAAATGTATAATTTGTATTGAAAATGAATTAATTTAATGATCTAGCAAAGCTTTTCTGCATACTACAATTAAGTTAAAATTTAAATTCAAAACATAGACTTTAGGTGATGTTACAGCGGACAATTTTCAACAAAGATTACACAATGCATTGCCAAACTAGAGCTGTGCGCCGGAGCCGGAGTGTCGGAGTTGGAAAACTCCGGCAGACAAAATTATGAAAAATTATTTCATATTTCAATGAACATTTGGCATTAAATGGGAAAATTAAGTTGTTGTTTACTAATATATTACTATTTATGTTGTTTTACTATATATTAGTATGTTGTTTACTATTAATGTTGTGTTGTAAAAAGGTTTTTAAAAAAGACTTGAAATTCTGAAATTACACTGAAATACTTTGGTTATCGTTCCATGTTTCGCGCACCAATATAAGTTAGGGCTAGGGGTTAGGTATTAGGGGTTAGGTTAGGGGTTAGGTTTAGGGTGTGTATATATGTGTATGGAAGTATCCAGTTAACTTTTCAGTGCAATATAATATCCATTACATAACGTTTACTATATTGGTGCGTGAAACATGGAACGATTACCAATACTTTTGCCTGCTTCCACTTTTAAATATGGAATTTCCTTAAAAATTTCTTGCCGGAGCCGAAGTTTTGACTGCCGGATAGTGATGGGCGATACCAGGATTTTTAATTCGATACCGATACTTTTAAGATCGGTATCGGCCGATACCGATTTCGATACCAAAATGAACACAAAATTTCAATTTTCGATACCGGAAGTGAGTACTTAAATTGCTAGTATCGGCTACTTTCGATACCTGCCACTCAGCGGAAAAACATTTTACATTACTGCATGTAACCTAAATGAAGCTATATGTAAACCAAAAGCCTGAAACGTAATAAATATTTTCTATTCATGACTTGGTGCACCACATTTGGAATATTAAGAGTTATTTTAGTATTAAATCTTATTCAACCAAGAAGTGAAATTAAACAAGTCGTTTAAAAAAGGGTACAAGTATCGAACAATACCATGTCAGTAATCGATACCAATACCGCTGTTTGTGGTATCGCTGGTATCAAATACCAAGTACTCGGTATCGCCCATCACTACTGCCGGAGCCGGTGCCGGAGCTAAAATAATCGGAGTTTGCACAGCTCTATCAGCCAAACCAACCAAATTTCATGTAACATCACTTGCATAATAAATTGTCATCGGAATTATTCCCTGTGATATCATATTAAAGTCATAATGCAATCCAATCTAACACAAACTGGCTAAAAATGACAATAATCCATAATCCAAACATTTGCCCTCTTAAAACATGGATAAAACCATTTTTTTAGACCAAAATCTGTAAAATTTAGGTCTACAAATTTTTTCTCACACCATTATTTATATTAAAAAACGTTCCAAATTATTTTTTCTTCTAATTTTGCACATTTTGGCCCGGGGCAAATTGCCCCCTTTGCCCACCCCTCCTCTGAAAGGCCCTGCTTCTATAAATCTATGTATATAATGAGTTTATACCGTTACTGTTGGGCAGTCAAATAGCAAGTTTTGTTTGTCGTTTATCTTTCTCTGAATATTTCTGTGGTAAATATCCTAAGACTTTCTTCCATACTGTTCAGGAAGCCAACAGTCTCAACAGACTTAAGCAGGCCAGATTTTGTTCTGAGGTCTTTTACATAACGTTCAATGTCATCCAATTTACGTTCACATGCACGTTTATTTGCTTCAGGAGAAACTAAACTACAGTCTATTTTTTTAACATAAGCACAAAAATTCTCAAGTTGCTGTCTTTTTTCATCAGTGTCAAAATTAGTGTCTTCATCTTTGATTTCCAAAATTATCAATCTTATCAAGTGCAGCAGATCACTTCGAGTACCACTAAAAAAGTGCAGATGATGCATTTTAGTACATGCCCAAAGTTTGCGTATTTCCCTTTGAATTTCATCTTCTTTTCTCATGATTTCAGGTATTCTGTCAACAACATGATGTTTAAGATTTTCAACATTGGAATATTCGCATGGAATATTGCAATTCATTTCACCATTTTCATACCAAAAGTATTCAATGTATGGAATTGCTTTCTTTATTTCACCATGCCCAGGATAACGCACCAGTCCTTCAATAGTACAACCAAAGTATATTAACACCTTTTCAATAAGCTTTTGTCTGGTCTTGGTCATAAAAGGATAGATGGTTTTACCCATGTCAATAATTTCGGTGGAAAATTCTGACTTGATATCATTTGGGCATGTTTTATCAATGGCAGACAACTGAAAAGAAAAATCTTTAAAGAATTTCATTATTCTGTGAACTTGAAACATTACTTTTTCCCTTCCGTCACTGTTGTCTTTTCTACTACAAAGGGGCGAGGAAAAGTGTAATTTATTATAGGAAATTGTACGCCAATTGTCGCCGTGACACATGTACAGTAAAACATCATGTTCAGTAAAAGTAAGTAATCCTGTGTTAATTGTCCTTTCTTTAAGATTATCTACTGATGTCTTGAGATCATGGAATATTTCTTGCACTTCATCATAATTTTCGCTGAGTATCGCTATGATCTTTTCTAGATCGGATCTTTGTTTGTCTGCCTCTTCTTTCCGTGTCTGTTTCTTCTTGTCTTGTTTCCTATTTCTTAGATTCCACCAGAACACACCGAACACACTGAAAATGCCCAAAATGAAGGTTTGGATCAATGTGCAAATTATAATTATCACGTCTTTCGTTATGGACAGATCCGCCATTTTGTTAAAATTAGAACGATGAACGCGCATGCTCGGAGCCAAATGTCGTTCAGTGAAAAAGTCGAAAAAGCACCAAAAAGTGGCCAAACACTTTTTGTTCAAAGACTTCAAAAGAAGCCAAAAAGAAGCCAAAAAGAAGCCAATTGCGTAACTACTGTAGTAGAGGGAGGCTGGGGGGGGGGGGCATTTATTTAGACCTTAACAGGAGCAAAATGATAGACCCTCTGCCCAGGGGCGAAACTAGCCCCTTTTAATTACGGGGGTGTCTGG